AGACTGGTTGGACCTTTTGTTGTAGCTAAGCCTTGAAATAGAGCTGCCAAAGCCTCGGATGGTGGTTTCCTTTGTTATTTGGGATTTTTCTGCTTCTGAGGCAGAAGCAGACTTTCTCTATCATCTTGATGTTAAATGCATAATCACTTCTGAACAGCTCAGTAAGGTCCTCTGTCTAACTCATGTGGTGACAACAGTTCATAACACCTCATTTCAGAGCAGAGATAATTGCTATCCCTTTCATATGATGAAGGCTCCAGCTTTCTCTGGCTTAGGTTATAAGTTCACATTCCTTGCTTTTTGTTGATGATTTATAATTCAGATTCCCTCAAAATATTCGCTATGGTTTTAAAAGAACAAAAATACTTTCCATATATGTTTACTGTAAAAGATATGATTCCCAGCAGATAAAGGGAATGTTCTGTTATACTTTTTTTCCAAACTGCAAGAGCTTTTTTTTCTTTTTTTTTTTTTTTTTTTTTTTAAGGATGGTAACACACCAGCTTTAAATAAAATGGATTCACATGGTGAGGAAGTTATTCGCTCTCTAATCCTTTCCCTGACCCTCTGAGTAGATCTCAGGTTAATGTTAGCGTATTTTCACATCTCTCTAACACAAAATCTTCCCTGTTAATAAGCAGAGGACAATTCTTAGGCTCAGAAATCTTGATTGGCAACAGACTTCATTAGTACTGTTTTAATTGTATTTATTTTTAAGGTTTCCGTGTGGTTTTATAAGCGAAATTGTTTTTCCACTAATGACTAAAATATGTTTCTTTTAAAAATGTATTTGTGTAGGTAAAAAAGAGCAATTTTAAAGAGAAAAATATTAAGTAATGGCAGTTATTATTTTGAGTACTTACTACATACAATGTGTCCTGCTTTAAGTTACATGATAGAACTTAGTGTTTCTGGGGCACCTGGCTGGCTCAGGGGTAGAACGTATGCCTCTTGATCTCGGGATTGTGATTTCAAGCCTAACTTTGGGTATAGAGATTACTTAAAATAAATAAGTAGAAATTTAAAAAAAAGAACTCAGTGTTACCTTCAATGGCTCTATGAAGCAGGTACTAGTATCATGCCCATTTTATACATGAGGAATTTGAGGCACAAAGGGAATACTTTAAGATCTCAAGTTTAATAAGTAGTATGATTAGGCTGAGCTGAGCTCTTTCCCTTCACCTAACACTGGCTCGCAGTCCAGACCTGTAAAGTCGATTTATGTAAATGGGGAGCATAGCACAACAAGTACTAGAATGGTTGAGTGAACATCTTGCCTTACACTTTCAACCTTCACTTTACATACAAGTTTTAACTTACAGGTTAAAAAATAAAGGATCGGTATTCTTACAAGCGTTAAATTAAATATTTTTGGTTAAATGATTTTACCTCTCTAGACCTCAGTTTTCTCATTTGTGAAGTAGACATAATAACAACTATCTCACAAGGTTGTAGATAGACTATACTGAGGCTATATGATATACTTTAAACGGTTAGAGTAATTATCCGTACATGGTAAATAACAAAAAATAATAGCTGATATCTTATCTGGAGGCAATATGATTCACTGTTTAAGTTAGGGCTTTAAACAGACCTAGGTTTTAAGACCATGTTACCTTGGAGAAGTTACATCTGGGAAACGGAGATGACGGTTATTCAAATTATTGTCATGGGTTTGGAATGAAATAATAATAGTTCTGTATTTGTCTGTCATTTGTCCTGCTTGGTATTTTCTGAGCTTCTTGGATCTGTGGTTTCATCTCTGACAATCATTTGCAGAAATTCTCACTATTATTTCATATAATTCTTCTGTTCCTTTATATATTTCTTCTTCTGGAATTTCTATTACATGTATGGTTTTTGTAATTCCATAGTTCTTGGATGTTCTGTTTATCTTTTTTTTTTCTCTTTCATTTTTAACTTTGTGATTTCTATTGAGAGATCCTCAAGCTCAGGAACTCCCTCCTCAGCCATACTGATATACTTATCAAAGGCATTCTTCATCTCTGTTACAGTGTTTTTGATCTCTAGCATTCTTTTTTGGTTCTTCCTCAGAATTTCCACCTCTCTGCTTACAGTGCCCATTTGCTCTTATGTACTATCCACTTTTTCGATTACAGCCCTTAGCATATTAATCCTAGTTTTGTAAAATTTTTGGTCTGCTGGTTCTAACATCCTTGCCATATCTGAATCTGGTTCTGATGCTTGCTCCATTTCCTCAAATTGTGTCTTTTTGCCTTTTAGTATGTTATGTCATTTTTTTCCTGATAACTGAACACACTGTACTGGGTAAAAGGAACTACTGCAAATAGGCCTTGAGTATTGTGGTGGTAAGATTTGGGTGAGGGGAGGTGTTCTATAGCCCTATGATAAGGTCTCAGTATTCAGTGATCTTGTACCTCTGGACTATGAACCTCACATGAGTCCCTCAGTCTCCCTCCTAACTTCCCCATTCTGGGGAGCAGGATGTCTAGAGGAGGGGGGAGTTGGGCATTTCCCTCCACCCCCCAGTCAGTTAGACTCTGATAAAACCCCAGCAGATTAGGCTCTGGCTATATAGTTTCTACTGAGAACTTTCTACTAAGTTCTACAGAACTTTCTGGTATATTTAAAGTGGTTCTTTTCCCCTTCCCCCTGCTGGAAGCAGGGGGAATTTTTCTGAGCTTTCACTATGAGAACCTGGTTGAAGTTCATGTAGGTAAAATTCACAAAAGTGTGTGAGTTCCCCTTGACTGGGTCTCTCTGAAGTTTTTAACTCTTAGATCTGTTCACATTAAGCCTCCAGCAATTTGTCAATTATAGTTCAGGTTTCCTTACCTGGCGCTGCATCTGGAGGCAGTTTCCGCTCTGGTAAGCTGTGATTCTCTGTATTCATCGGTCAGTCTCTTCAATTTTGGGGACAGAGGTTCGCCCTGTGACCTCACTTGCCTGATGGATCTAAAAAGAGTTGTTGATTTTTCAGTTTGTCAGCATTTTTACTTATTAGGACAGAGTGGCAACTTCCAGCTTCTTACATGCCTGACTGGAAACTAGAAGTCTAGCCACTTCTTCACACCAGTACATCCTCGCTCCACATTGATATTGACTCAGCTTTGATTTGGTGTTACGTTGCATGCATAACTGCAGCACAGTTTTATGCTAACATTAATCATTTGTACCAGATTACTTCTTTGATCAATATTCTATCTAACTTATTTACAGTGCAAAGGCATTAAGAATTCTATAGAAATTGTACATTAGAAAGATTGAGAATATACAATTTGCTATTATGATGCAATAAATGAACTCAGGTTAAGCAAATGGCAGCAATTACTTAGTTGCAGAGATCTCTATGCAAGATAAATCAGAGTAAAAGTAAGCAGTGAAAGCCAGTATTTGGTTATGGTATCTTAAAAGCTTCTGGTAAAATCTGTGCTAAAGATACACAGAAACATTCTAATTATATATACTTCCCTGATCTATTATTATTCATACACTTTTACTTGGATATCTTCTAACTACAAAATAAATGACCCATTTACCAGAAAAACCTGCAGTAGGTGTGTGGAAGTAGAAAGGGTGTGGGAGTTAAGACAGGAGGGAGGAGTTGTTGTCCCAAGATATCATAATAATTAACCAGTGAAAGTCTTTTTATGCAAAAGTGCCCATAGGGTAAATATAAAATAATAATATCAGCATGGCATTTTTGTTTGTTTGTTATATTTCCCTGACGTCATTCTGCGGTGCTAGGTGGCATCCATGCTAGATGGTGCTTTAAGTGTCAGAAGGTTTTCATGTTACTTTACATAAAAACTGGTTCTCCAGTAGAGACCCTGAAAACTAGTAGACAGGTAGAATTTAAAGAGAAAACCTCCACTTATTATTTCTATATCTGCCCATACCAATAGTATTATTGTGGGTGCTCTTAGAATTAGCACCTGATAACAATTTAAAATAGGATATTCCTTTTTTAAAAATATTTTATTAATTTATTTGAGAGAGAGAAAGAGAGAGCAGGGGGAGGAGCAGAGGGAGAGGGACAAGTAAACTCTGTGCTGAGGGTGGAGCCTGACAAGGGTCTTGAACTCATGACCCTGAGATCATAACTTGAGCTGAAACCAAGAGTCAGACACTCAACCGACTGAGCCACCCAGGTGCCCCCAAATAGGATATTCCTATGGGATTCAAAGATAGCATCATATTATGTCATTGTTTCTACTTAGCACTTCAAAATATGTGTGAAATAATGGGAAGGATTTATAATTGTTCTGACCCCCCCCCTTTTTTTACTTTTATATTAAGTTTCGTGGATTATTGTAGTGATCTCTGCAGGAATTTCACCCCATCATCCTTGCGGAACTCCCTCATTTGATGCAAGTTTGTCCTAGGCTGGAAGGGGGGACAGGTGCATGATGATGACTTATGTTATCAAACAAATCAGCCCTAGAGGCAATTGTCAGGGCAATTGTTTGCACTGCCTTGTTTCTCATTTCTTGTTTTCAAGCGCATGTTTCTAGAGTGAGGTTAACTTAGTTAACACCGGCACCATCCTAAGCATCCTGAAAGCACAACAGAGTGAGGGTGAATCCTGGCCAAGATGGAAACTTTATGTTTCTTTCTAAGCCCTGTCAGAGACTTAGGGAAAGAAAGCACCAGCTTTAGAGTTAATCACAGCGGGGTTCAAGCCTCCACTCAACTCTCCGAGGTCCCAGCCATGAGACCTCCACCACTCTTGAGCCTCGCTATCCTCACTGATCAGAGAGGAAAACAGTAAGAGCTCCTTCATTTTCCTCACAGTATTTTGGGCAAAGATAGATGAGATAACCGAGAAGAAAAAGAATTTGTAAGTAACAGTGAAGCAGGCCCGATTTTGAGAGTTTCAGACTTGCCTCATAAATGGGTGCTGAGGGTTTGCCAGCTTAGAAGATTTTTATATGAAAGTTGAGGTACTTTCTGGGTAAGAAACTAACCTGTGTTTACTGGGTCTGAAATAACTGAGTAAATGTGATATGATCTGACAGAATTCCATTTGTGGAGGTCAGGGTGGATTTGCCTAAAAACACACATGCATATCTATATGTGGTTACCCCCTGAACAATGTGGGGACTAGGGGTGCTGGCCCCTGCACAGCTGAGAATCCACATGTAAATTTTGACTCCCTCAAAACTTAACTGCTAATAACCTACTATTGACTGGATTCCTTACCGATAATATAAATAGTTGATTAAGACATATTTTGTATGTTATATGGATTAATACTGTATTTTTACAATGAAGGGAGCTAGAGAAAGGCAAATATTATTAAGAAAATCATTAGGAAAAGAAAATACATTTACTGTGCTATATTGTATTTATTGAAGAATTTCATGTGTAAGTGGATCTGTGCAGTTCAAACCTGTATCATTCAAGGGTCAACTGTATATTAAATATATAAATATATTTTATTAAATACATATAAATATGTATTAAATATTCTATGTTAAATACACAGCATATTAATATACATTTGAAGCATCAGAAACTATCAGAATCGAGTGCCATAGTTATTAGTGAAATGTGTTTCTCAGTTCAGCCCCTTGGATACATGATTGTGTCCTAAAGAGAAAGCTTTTAGTTTTTATTTATTTTTTTTGAGGGGCTCTTTTTTTCTTTAATTTTATTATGTTATATTAGTCACCATACATTAACATCATTAGTTTTTGATGTAGTGACCCATGATCCATTGTTTTGGTATAACACCCAGTGCTCCATGCAGTACGTGCCCTCCTTAATACCCATCACGGGGCTAACCAATCCCCCTCCCCTCTAAAACCCTGTTTGTTTCTCAGAGTCCATAGTCTCTCATGGTTCATCTCTCCCTCCGATTTCCCTCCCTTCATTTTTCCCTTCCTTCTCCTAATGTCCTCCCTGCTATCCCTTATGTTCCACAAATAAGTGAAACCATATGATAATTGACTTTCTCTGCTTGACTTATTTCACTGAGCATAATCTCTTCCAGTCCCATCCATGTTGATGTAAAAGTTGGGTATTCATCCTTTCTGATGGCTGAGTAATATTCCAGTGTATATATGGACCACATCTTCTTTATCCATTCATCTGTTGAAGGGCATCTCAGCTCTTTCCACAGTTTGGCTATTGCGGACATTGCTGCTATGAACATTGGGGTGCATATGGGCCTTCTTTTCACTACATCTGTGTCTTTGGGGTAAATACCCAGGAGTGCAATTGCTGGGTCATAGGGTAGCTCTATTTTTAAATTTTTAAGGAAACTCCACACTGTTTTCCAAAGTTTTAACTAAAAAACGGAAGACCTCTTTCTCTAAACTCTGTGACACATCAGGGCACAGTCAATATTACTTTACTATCATGTGACACAATGGGTAGGGAGCTGCTTTCTTCATTCCATCACATTTTACCACAGGGCATACATACTAGGAGGGTTTAAGGTGGCCACTAGTGGAGAATTGCTTTGCGTTGGAAAAAACGAGGAACAACCATGAGCTCCGTACAGAGCCAGTCGGGATGCGTCCAAATAATGGCAGAGCCGCAGTGGAACAAACTTACGGCTAACCACTAGTGTGCAACAACTCTGCTTATATGATACCTCTGGAGCAAGAGTGCAGGATGGATAGAAACCATCATGGCACACTACATGATAGTGTACATGGAAGCCTTGGGAAGGGAGACAGTTGTGTCCACAAAAGGAGCATGGGTGGCTGCATTGCTTGGCTGAACATCGAGGGGTAGCTAGTGGAACAGTGTGGCTGCCAAGAGAATAAAGCCTGTGAGTCTGCTCGGAACACTTGGAGAGGACTGTGCCAGAAGCTAGAGTTTCTGGATGAGGAGGTGGACACCAGAGCTAAGACATCTGTGTCACCCCTGTAAGGTAATGTATGAATTAGCCATGATTATGACTACTATATTCCTACAGTGTAAGGTATGTAAGAAGCAAGCCGTATTTCCCTTTGGTCCTGGTATTAGAAATCTTTGTCATTTTTTGGATAAAGCTATTTCTTTCATTCTTCTGTGCACTCGGTAGGATCCATTTGGGGTACAAGTTGATAACTGGTGTATGTCCTACTTGACAGTGTTTTTCTAAGGGCAGCCACCATATTTCAGTATCAGAGTCACCCACTTGGCTTGGTATAAATATGGCCTTATCTGAGGCCCATTGAATCAAGCTGTGAGCTTATTTTTATTTTTTATTTTTGCCTTTTATTTCAGATTAATTTTCATGAACACTAAAGTTTGAGAACTTCTCCTTTATTTTCTCAGTGAGTAGAAGATAAAACCCCTTGCTGAGAGAGTGGCAGTTAGAGGTGAGGTAGAGGTCTTGCAAAGAGTGGTAAAGGTTTGAAGTATCCACTGTAGGGAATGGTGGAAGAATCTTCAGGGATACGTAAAAACATTCTTGAGCAGCCCTAGTCCCTGCTGAAACAGAAGACCTTAAATTTACGATGATAACAATCCTCAGGATTGTCCACAGAGGGTCCTCATGGCTATGACGTATTTATTGAGGTATGGTGTGGCAACCGTTTGGTAAATGTAAGTACTGATATAAAAGAAGATACAGAAAATGATATAATAGGTTCTATGAGCAGCGAGTCCATAAAGAGGTATTAAAAATGATTAAAGAAGACAATTGAGGGGGCGCCTAGGTGGCTCAGTTGGTTAAGTGACTGCCTTCAGCTCAGGTCATGATCCTGGAGTCCCGGGATCGAGTCCCACATCGGGCTCCCTGCTCAGCGGGGAGTCTGCTTCTCCCTCTGACCCTCCTCTCTCTCATGCTCTCTGTCTCTCATTCTGTTTCTCAGATAAATAAATAAAATCTTATTTAAAAAAAGAAGACAATTGAGGTAATACAAACTTTATTTAATACTTCATGAAGTGGGCAGTCTCAGAGAACTACAAAATGGGATGGAAGGCAAAAAGCTTTTATAGGATGACTAAAGAATAAGGAAGAGACAAATGGAAAACATCTGATTGCCTGGGTCCACATAATCAATCTTGTTTGAGGTGAGAGGCCCAGAATTGGCTTGGCCTTTGGGGATTGTCTAGCTGGATATACTGCATTTCTGGTCAAGCAGTACATTTGCAGAGACACAAAAATTATCTAAGTTTTGGTTTTCTGACTTTGCACCCTGGGCAGAAGCATCTCCATCATGGGCCTAAAGATTTATTTAAACAGAGGCACAGTCTTGTCTTGAAAGGGGCCTCAATATGCAGAGCTCTCGTTGACAGCTGGGTCTCCATGTTGTTGCTGCTTCTCTGCTCACATTGATGCTGTAATTCTGGAGTAGCAGGAAAAATACAGCCATTGGTCATCATCAAACTATCAGTCCCAGGGAAAGTGGAAGCGCTGGAGTCTAAGGAAGATTTCAAGCAATTCCTTCTTCTAATCATCAGCAAGATGCAGGAGGACATAACATCTTGCACTTGAGTGCAGGGGAGAGCTTAGATGCAAGAATAGGAGCATGCTGTGGAAAATGGAAGGTCTGCTCATCCAAATAAAAACCCATGAGAATGCCTCGGAGGAAAGCACGCTGGATCATCTTTAGAACCCAAAAGATGGAGTCGAGGAGTGACTAAACCATGCAAAGAAGGCCAAAGAGATTATAAAGATGGCAGTGAGGCATTGATTGACCTAGTCTAGGAGACCGAGAAAAGCAAATAAGTCATCTTGGAGGATCAGCAGTTTACAGCCAGTGGTTTCGGGTCAACTGATGGAGATTGACACCGTAGAGAAGCTGAAACTAGAGAGCCTTCTGTGTTTTCTCTTCTTTTTTCTCTTCTCTGTCGACATGCTGTCCTCACTTATACTATGTTTCTGATGGTTGGTCTGTGGTTGATGACTTCAGGATGAATTTGGATTGTTAAATATTTTGTTTGGGGAAAGTAACTTTTTTTTTTTTTTTTGAAAATGCTCTCACACAGGAGAATTAGGGCCTAGATTGTAAACTCTTGCAGGAATTGGATTTGTTCCTGGAGTTTGGTTATTTCTAAATGTTGAGGTGCTTTTCTCTTTCTTGTGTGACTGGAGAGCTCCCTGGAACTTTGGGTCTGAGTGTGATTCATGAGACTCAGAATTGGATTTCTCCAGCTCTGGAGGCACTGAATGAGCTACATTACTTCTAGATGAAAACTCCATGCAACAAGTGCTGAAGAAGCTGAACAAGGGACCAGACTTCAGCTGGGGATGTGAATGGGGCTGATATGGCTAGGACGGATGAATCAGAAGAAGGAGCAGACAATGGTATTGTCTATATTTTGAGACTTTAATTTCTGGGTGAGCCCAAAGGAGGAGAGAGGTGTTTTGTTCAAAATTTAAATTTCATGTGACACACTAACTGACTTCACCGTTTGGTCAGTTTGTTTGGACAACCTAACTCAGCTTTATTTGACATAGAACCTAAAACAGAAGACAAGATCTTGGTATTCTATACAAGTTGATGGAATCCCCTGATGCATTTCAGGGGATTCTGGACATAAAATGAAAGGGATATTTACAGAAGCTTTTGAGGGGCTGGGAAAGAAAACTGAGGACTGTCTACATCGGACCCTACACTGGACAGGGAATAGGTATCTTCAAGGTTCTGTAAGTAGTCCAGCCATAAGTTCATTTACATAGCAGAACTGATAAGTATTTGGGGTCCAAACCCTACTATGAAGGGAAAAAAGTTGCCATGTTAATAAAGCTACTTACTTTCTTGAAAAAGAAAAAGGATACAATAAAGCATTGAAAGCTAAATTGGGGAGAGAAAACAGGCATACAAGAATGTCATTAACAACAACACAGTATTAAGTTAAAAGATAAATTGAATGATAGTACCTAACTTCCCAAATATGAAAGCACGGACAACAGTAGTTGATAAAAGAGGTGAAATTTGACTGGTGCCTTAAAAATATGGTAGGATTTGTAGGAGGAGATCATTCAGGTCAAGAGAAGATATCATCATATGAACAGCTTATACCACCCTATGTATACAACACCATTTCCAGCGCTGTGAAGAATTAATATAGGAACAAGATGCCTTTTGGTTCTCAAAGACATTCCAACCTAACAAGCACAGCCAAGACTGATCATAGCAGGTTCTTGGAGTGGTGAAAACATAATGAAGGGAAAGTTTTGAAGGTGCCATGGGAAATAATGTTGGGTAAAATAATAAAGGTGCCCAAGTCCAGTTTTTTGGGTTGCACACAAGAAGATCAAGATGGCACATATATGAGCTCAGCTAAAAAATGGTTTGCTTGGTTTTAAGAATTCAGTAACAGGGTTGTATTTAGGCAATGCAGAAAGAATAATAATTGAAGGAGTCTTAACAACAATGGCCTATAAAATTCGAAACACAACACCATTTCAGGTGTGAATGGCTTTCTTTGCTTCCAATTTTTTTAATCACTTTTAAGTTAATGAGGCCTGCACTGCACTGAACAGTATAAATAGGACACATCTGTATATATCTGAGTTACTTATAATTTTATACTGATGCCTTTGCGAGGCTAATGGTGAAGGGAAAACTGCTACTTACACCCCACTACACTCTTTTACAAGGTAGGTGTGTATTACGGAGAGCTTGGAAGCCAGGTTTAGGTTTTGCCAACAATCTTCCTGAGCAGTGACATGTTCCACATGGCATTTAACAAATGGTATTCAGCAAAATAAAATACACAATATTAATATAAAAGCAGGTAACCTTAGAAAAATAGCAAACTTTCCTTCACCAAATAGTAGAAGCTGAGAAGATGCAACAGAATGACACCTTTGGATTAGAAGAGGGAAGAGAGGAAAGTAGGAAAAAATTGGAGTCAGGGCCACCATGGAAGGCATCCAGGGACCCCCTTGATACTGGGAATCTGTGGGAGGGGACACGATATAGGACAAGCAGAGGCTTCTCTGTTCTGCCTGGAGCTGACCCTGAGCACTAGTGAGAGTTGAAAGGTGATATGCAAGGCAAAAATAGTGCACAGAAAAAATCATGCAAAAACAAAACAAAACAAAACAAAACAAAAAAGGGAAAGGGAAGAAAAAGGAAGTGAAGGGAACACTGAACGTCCCTGATGAAGAGGCCAATTGGGAGATCAGCATAGTGCCTTCAAGTCTAGCCAGAGATTTCCATGCTGTTCCAACCCACTACTTTTACCATTGGGCACCAGAAGGACTGGGCTTGAATTTTCAAGTATGTGAAAAAATACATATCCTTAAACACTAGACTCACTCTCAGTGCATCAAAATGCTATGAGACATTTCTGAAGAAAGAAGGACTGAGGGAGGAAATTTATTTATACAAAGAAATAGCACAGTGTCTCTTGTCTCACTCTCAATCCAGGCCATGTGCCCTTTGATGGGAAAGATAGAATCTGCTTCACTGTTTAAATTGCTATTTCTCATTTTTTTGTTTCGTGAGGTTTAAGCACATAGTTGATGTTTCAAAAATTATGTGCACTTACTTTTCAGTTCCACAATATTAATACACTTGAACTTTTGTTGTTCTTATGTTATTTCCTAATTTCCCCCCATTAAAGCTCCTCAATGGAAATTTTATATACATGTTTATGTGATGACTATGACAAGAATACCTACAAAGTACGACATTCAGATTTAACCACTTGTATTGAAATCTCCCTATGAACCAGCAGTGTGCTATGTTAGTTGGTGTAACACACTTGGATTATCCTTGTATCATTGCTGTGAAGTAAGTGTTTTAAAAGAATGTTTTTATTTTGAGAGGTACTGAAGCATATGTGAGGATTGCCTTTGATCAGGCACTTGGCAATTCAATAGTTTAGAGAGGAAAATATTCAAATATAAGAAAAATTTCACCTCTTATCTTAAATGGTAGAGGCATTTGCCCTTGAGAACATTCTTACAGGAAGGAGGCATTTATAGCTAATGACATTTTCACAATAAAAATTGGTGCCATTGAGTATTTTATGGATACGTTGTCATTAAAAATTAACTTTGAGGGGCACCTCGGTGGCTCAGTGGGTTAAGTGTCTGCCCTTAGCTCAGGTCATGATCTCGGGGTTCTGGATCGAGCCTCATGTCAGGCTCCCTGCTCAGCGGAGAGTCTGCTTCTCCCTCTCCTGTTGCCCCAGCCCCCTTCATGTGCTCTCTCTCTCTCTCTCTCTCTCAAATAAATAAAGAAATAAATAAAATCTTTAAAAAATTAACTTTGATTACCAGTCTTAATTTTCTGAAATCCTGTGTGGCTCCTAATATATTAGTTCATATGCTTTTATGTGTATATTATTTTGACCATTTAGACAGTATTAATGAGAAATACTAGCTTTTCAACAACTTTATTGTTCATACCAGTACTTTAAGTGGGATCACTGAAATATTCTTTACTGTGCATGCATGCAAAACTTGGTTCCACTCTAAATTACTACTGTAGCATTTTCTGTCACCAGTGCATCTGCATGTAAGTAAATCTATGTCAGGTTTTATAGACAGCTTTTTAAAAACCTACATGAAGCTTGGAAAATGATTTGTAGAAGGTATTTTTTTCCTTCAGGGTTGTCTGTATTTTCCAAAATTTTCCAAATAATTAAAAGGTATTTAAACTCACTCTATGAAAAAAAAAAGGTTTTTATTGAAATAATTATGGATTCAAAGGAAGTTGGAAAATAGAGTCCAGAGAGGTCTGGGCTATCCTTTACCCCATTCTCCTTAGTGGTTACATTTTACATAACTATACCACAATTTCAAAACCAAGAAGCTGACATTGATATAATGTGTGTCTATAGTTCTAGGCCATTTTATCACATGTGTAGATTGTGTAACCACTGCATTCAAGATACAGAACTATTTTATCACCACAAAGATCTTCCTTGTGCTACTCCTTTATGGTCACCTCTCACCATACATAACTCCTGGCAATTTCGAATCTATTCTCCATCTCTATAACTCTGTAATTTTAAGAATGTGATATAGATGGAATCCTAGAATATGTGACCTTTTAAGACTGGAGTTTTTTTACTCAACCATTAGGCAGAGGCCCATGCAAATTGTTGGTTGTATCAATGATCTGTTCCTTTTATTACTGAATAGCACCCCATAGTGTGGATATCCCATAGTTTGTTTAACCATTCACTACTGCAGGAAATTTTAATTATTTCCAGTTTGAGGCTGTTACAAAGCTGCTACGAACATTTGTATACAGGTTTTTGAGATTTTTTTTTAATAAATCACATTTCAGAGCTGAGACCAGAGAGGTAAATAAATTGTCCAGACAACTGAACAGTTTTCCAAACCCAGATGTTGTTCCTTTATCTCCTGTGTTGTTTCCATGATCCCATATTCACTGAGAACAAACTGTTCTGCAGACAGTGGAGAAAAGTAATAATTGTATATTTGAATATTCTTGATAAAATATTGGTTTCAGAATAATATCTCCTCAAAAACATGATTATTTTTGGCATCATGTATGCACTTTGGTTCACTCATTCATTCCCAAAAATTATTGTTAGAGAACCCAGGCCTCGTGCTGAGTGCTGGGGCAAGGTGCCTTCCCCACCAGGGCTTTAATAAAATATTGCATTTGTTGCATACAGGTAGCTTGCTCTGTGTTTGTTGGTCTTAACAGTTTCAAATTTTAGTTGGAAAATATTTATTCAGAGTTAACATGATTGCTATACTAATATTTAAATGTGTAGTCTTACATTTAAATTCATTGAAAGATTTGGGTTAATATATTTTGCCTTATCTTAGGAAAGCAATTGCTGAGCATGCATGCACAAATACACAATCTACTTTTACAAGGTGTGCAGTTCAGTACTTCTTTAAAATATGGGTAGGGTTCAGATGGATTTTTATTTGTAGCTTGTTCACAAATTAATGAATTCTTCTGCTTATTCTGTGTCCTTTCCTTCCAATAGCATAAAAAATTGATCAACCATCCACAGAGTACCAAAAGAATTTCTACCAATCCTGTAGGTATGAAATATTTGCTCAGTCCTCCTTACAGTGGCACTATTTTTCCTCGTATATATGTATGTGAATCGTTGTATAAAAAAAGGAGAAAGTGACTTTGCAATTAAATAATCATTATGTTTATTAGCGTAATAAATGAATTTCCTTTGGAAGTCATGCACAATTCTCAAATATGGGTGTAATTAAAATTTTTGAAATCTACAAGAAATATGAACCCTGCTAAGGATTCATTTACTAAGATAACTAAGTAATTGCTTGCTTTGGTAAACAACGACAGTTTGTTCTGAAATGTTGACAATTAATTTGTGAATCAAAGTGTGGTCTCTTCAACTCCATGTTTGAGGCCAGTAGAGTTTTTTTTAAAGATTTTATTTATTTATTTGAGAGAAAGAATGAGAGAGAGAGAGAGAGTACATGAGGGGGGGAAGGTCAGAGGGAGAAGCAGACTCCCCGCTGAGCAGGGAGTCCGATGTGGGACTCGATCCTGGGACTCCAGGGTCATGACCTGAGCCGAGGGCAGTCGCTCAACCAACTGAGCCACCCAGGCTCCCCGAAGCCAGTAGATTTTAAATAGAGGTATGTGGTTATGAAACCACAACAAAGGAAACATTTGATAGTTGATTGTGGTTATACATAATTCAATTATATAACAGTGATGTAGATTTCAGGGTAGAATTTGACATTTTTATTCTATTTTAGCATTTGAAACAATTCATTTTATAATGTTAATGGTCACTAAATAATTTATTGATCTTCAGATCATTTATTATTTGATCTTGGTCTTCAAAAGATACCCTTTTTCTGATCTTCCTGGCACCCTCCTAATTATAACTCAGAGCAAACAACTGTCAGTCTGCATCTTCTCTGATTTCCAGAAAGCATTTCACTCCTTCCCTTGGGTGCCACAGCCTGCCCTGGTTCTCCTCCTGCCTCTCTTTCCCCTTTGTTGATTCTCTTCCTCCTGATTCTGCTGAATTACTACTTCCTCTCCCAGGCCTCTTCTTTCTCTGTCCTCTCCCCTCAATGAATTCATCAACTTTTACTGCCCTAACCATCTCCTCTGATGTGAAATATCCCAGCTTTGTAGGACGTCTGGGTGGCTCAGTCAGTTAAGTGACCGCCTTCAGCTCAGGTCATGATCTCAGGGGCCTGGGATGGAGCCCTGTGTTGGGCTCCCTGCTCAGTGGGGAGTCTGCTTCTCCCTTTCCCTCTACGCTTACCCCCACCCCTCTTGCACTTGCCGGGAAGATTGCATTTAGGGAGAAGATTTTTTTTAATGGGTTTGTTAGCTGCTATAAAGACTTGAATGGTGTACAGAGCACAGAGTTAGTTGATGACATCTGGCATAGTTTCATAACCCTGAACATCTCTGTAGTTGAGTATAGGGTGAGTAAAGCAGGATTGGCAATTGATAAATTGATAACGATGAAAGCTAAAAAGGACAACAGATCCCAAGGTGGATGCAAGGCGGTCGTTGACGTACATAGCTGATCATGAGGAGCAGCATGTGCTTCTAATAGTATGAAGGTATGTGAGACCCAGTAGAGATGAGTGATGGTCATCAAAGGACTCGCTGCGTCAGTGACAGGGGCAAGAAGCATATTAGGTAGGAGGAACACCACAGAGCTGTGGAAGTTTAGGAAGTAGTGGTCAGCAGTAATATTGAGAAGCTGATGCCTTGGAGGGAGATGAAACCTGAGGATTGGCCATGAAAGTCAGTTTCTTATGTGGAATCACAGTACAGGTGATTGATGTCAACAAGATGAAGGAACAATGTGGTCGGAGGTGTGACTGATTAACAGGGTTACTGATGCTGCTGCCAGCCAATGGCAGGAGATAGAGGATGTGGATGGGGAGAGAAGGCCTGCCCATTCATCATGAGCCTATATTGCACGATGCAAGCAGAATGTTGATTTAAAAGTAATGGAGACTCCATTTCCTGAGTAGCTTTCCCAGAAAAGTGGCACAATTCATAATGTAAATTTATGTGCAATTTCTGTGAGTAGGTAGATGGAAGGAATCATGGAGTCAAAGGTGGCAGATGCAGTATTCTTACCTCCCATCAGACCAGGCAAGAGTTAGCCAGAGAATGGTGCAGGCTGGGGCACAGAGGCTGGGGGATGGGGGGCTCAGGGACTTTACTGGGAGTGATGGCTTGGAGTTACACAAAGAAAAACAAATAAACAACCAACCAAACAAGAGAAAAATGGAATCATAAGTTTAGGTGGTAGACGTGAGTCACAGGATAAGGGAAGGGGTATGCTGAAATACAGGATATATTCAAAGGAGATGTTTGTGGTTTCAATAGTCCAGAGGCCAGGGGAAATGTTTTGGCGTAAAGGACCTTCCGCAGAACTCCTCTTTGGGTTGGATTTTGGTGAGTTTGTGTGTGTGTGTAGTTGGGGCTGGTGGTGAGAGGATTGTGTAGCTGTTGGTACAATTTATGCATCAGATTAGTACTAATTACGAAAAAAATATTTTTGAGCCCAGAAGTATCCTTTAACATAGTGCTACTCAAAGTATGGTTGGGGACCCTAATGTCAACATCACCTCAGAGTTTGTTAAAAATGCCCAATTTTGCCCCTACTCTAGCTTTACTTAATTAGACTAGCTGGGGAACAGCCTAAAATCCATTTTAACAAGGCTTCCTGGATCTCAGGGGAGTTAAAATCTGAGAAGCATTTCTAGTCTTAGGCAATCAGTCATTCCCTCCAGGGAGGAGACCCCAGAAATGGCAGGGATCCAAAGGCTTTCAACTGTCCACTGGGGTGGTTCCAGATCTTTCCACCGTTCAGAGGCCAAACCAGAGAGCCCTTAGACTTCCTGGGAGGAGGTGTGGAGGGTGAGATCAGCCCTGCCCCCCGGGAAAGAGTCCTAAGGCGGCGTGTTCCATGTGTGCCGGGCAGAAGGCCTGTGGGACAGCCTGCTGCACTGGCTGGCGGAGGAGCTCTTCGAAGAGCACGCCGCGCATCTCTCCGGGTCCCTCCCTCTTAGCCGCAGCACCATTGAGCTTCTCAGACTGAAGAACCCCGGTGATCCCACAGAACAGATCAACGAACTTCTTTGCTTCTGGAAAAAAATCACTTCCAAATTCCACTGACAAAGCTCGCCTTCTGGCTCGTCACCTCCACAAGATCGGCAGGAGCGATCTTTCCGAAGAGCTCAAATTCAAGTGGGAAAAGAAGGTGTTCACGGAGGCACAGCAGTGGTTTGACTCAGCAGAGTAACGCCAGGTTGCTCTTTCTTTTGCCCTAGAGAAGGGTCGTAGCTGGTTTTAAGGAGGTTTCTGTCAACATTTTACTACCAAGTTTCCAAGTCAAGTTGTTTGAACTGAGTCTTTGATAGATGTGCTATTGGAGACAGATGGAAAATCTAATCAGATCATAAAAAGAATTCTTGGGTTTGAGGGCTTCTTTGCGGTTCAGAGATGTATGTTCTGCAAGAATTATTGTCTTAAGTTCAGACAAGTTTAATAGCATTTGTAATAGAGTTTGCTGTGTTTACATTTTAATAGCGGAGGTTGTTTTCTGAGTGGGAAGGAAAGATATGATATACAGAATCCCCCTTTTTTATTGTTATCTACATAAAAGTAAACTAGTTATGCAGGACCCCAAGCAACTAATTCACATTATGCATATACTGTGGAGCCTGCAGTTAACAACACAAAATAAATTGGGTTGCGGAGACCTGATGCTGATGATAGTAAATCAGTAAGAAAACAGACAAGCTTGAAATAAATTAAAAGTAGAATAACATCGGCCATTTGCTGCCACAAGCTTTTCTTTTTTTAAGAAAAAGGACCCTGGAATAGGGAAAATCTTATTATTTTATTATTAGAGAAATGAGTCAGTGCAGAGAAAGTGAAGTATAAGTGAAAGAATTTAGGGCCTTTTTAACTTAGGAAAACAACTTCCTCTTAAATCAGTTTTTGTAGAAATCTTGTTATATAAGCCCTATATGTTCATCATTAAAAAACTATAAAAAACACAAAGCTAAAAGAAAAAAAATAACAATCACTAAAGCTCCTCCATCATTGGTAATCCCTGTTAATGCCCTAGTGCATAAGCTTTAAGACTTTAGTTTTAGCTAAAACAATGTGATATGAATGGGATATTACATTCATATTACCATTTCATTAATGCAAAACCATCAGGGCCTTGGCTTGTCAGCATCAGTTGTGATTAGTTTTGATTATTGAATACCAGAAAATTAATGAAATCACATGAAAAATTAAACACTCATATGGATCTGAATTTTAAAGGCAAGATTTCCTTCTACAAATTAACCAAGGACCTAGATATCTATTTGGCTACATATTGAAAAAGAGGATTCCAATTTTCAAATACATTCTTATTAAGACACATTTTGTTGGTCAAGATATGTATTATTTTTACATGTTTCCAGAAACGTACAATATTTTTCATGTGCTCTTGGAATGAAGAAAAAAGACTGAAGTGTTCCTTGTTTTTCTGACTACAAAGTAGCAGAAAAGTAGAGTCGTTTACTGCCTGTAATGAGCCAGACTCTTTATGTTTATCCCTTTATAAGCATTGACTTATTTAATCCTTGCGACTGCTCTGTGAGGTAGGTACACTGTCCCAACTTACAAGAGAGGAAAGGAGATTCCAAAGATTGAGTGCCTTGCCTAAGGTCATAAGTGAGTGAAGTAGCCAGGATCCCTGTTCTAACAACACTAGAGACTGTTACGAACATTTTAGAGTATTTTCTTCCAGTTTTTCTGTTTTCCTAGAAGGAAATGTTTCTATTGCTATGTGTATGGATGTATATAAATACACTTACCTGTGTGCTCACATGCACACACATGCTATCTATAAATCCCCTTACACATACTGCCACACTCATTCCCCTCCTTACTCACGCATTTCTTCTCATACCCACTTCCATGTCCTCATCTCTCTCACACCCAGGCACTACTACCCATACGTACACACACCCTCCCACACATCTCTCACAAACACCCTGGAACACATCTAACTATCCCGTCCATGTACACAGTCTTACAGCCATGTGTGTCCTCATGCGCATGCGTGCATTGTCACAAACACACATCTTAGCACACAGCCCACTCCCACCTCTCACACACACTTATTCACAATCAGCCCTTCCTACAAATTCTCACTAACATGCATACTCCACAGACATGCACACACATAAATAACACCTATTGCCTGTACACTTTCACAAACACCCGTTCTTCTCACACACAAATCCACTCCCATACTTCACATATCTACCCTCACAGGCACCCACCCCTTCACACACACTCACACACACACACACACACACACACACACACACACACACACTCTGATACATCTTACCAGAATTAAAAAAACAGGCATATATTATTGCAATGGTAAAACAATATAAGGGTATGTATATATAGAAACAAATGGGGCATCTCTTGGGCACTGGTTCTCACCTAGGTTATCAAAGGAATCCGCCTGATAGGTAGCCTGTGCCTCGTGTGGTCAGTGGGCCACACCCCACCCCTAGGCACCCTGCTCTCTGTCAGCTGACCTGTATGGATCTCATCAGCGGTGCCTCTGGCTTCTTGCTGGGTTTGGGTAATGGAAACCCCAGCAGGAGACTGGTAGAAGAGAGGAGAATGAGTTAGGTTATTCCTGTCTTCCTCCCTTCAAATTCACTGAAGGCTGTAACCTTCACCCAAAGGCCACCACTCCTCTCCCCTCTGGGCAACTATCTCCTGGGTGTTGGGATCTGCCCCTCCTCTTGTCTCTTCAGGTCTAGGGGAAGCAACAGCTTTATTGCTGCCCTATCCCTTGTGGCTCCTCTACCCCCTGACCATCCTTTAAGATAAAGCCTCCTTTAATTATTCTGAGTATTATTATATATTTTGTATCAAAACTCTGATACTTCTCTCTCTCTTTCTCTCTCTCTCTATATATATATCAAAATATATATATAAATGATTTTTTTCAGAATGGGGGTCATATATATATATATATACATGATTTTTTCAGAATGGGGGTCATCTATTATGCATACAACTTTAAATATTATTGTCTTATTAAATTATGAACATTTTCTAATATATTTAAGTGTTTTGATAGCTGCAGACTATCCCATTTCATAGTCATGCCATTTTAGTATTAGCAATTTTTGAAAATTAAAAAATAGAATGATGCAGTATATATTCTTTTATGTCTGGCTTTCTTATATTCAGCTTTATGTTGTTAAAATCCATCCATGTTGTTCATGTGGCAATACTTTGTTTCTTCTCCTTAGTAGTTCCTTAATGCATACTGATCCATTATATGGATATACTGCAAATTACAGATCTATTCCACTTACAGATGAACATTTCAGTAGATTCCAATTTGGAGCTATCATGAATAGTGTTTTGTGAACATTCTGTGCATGCCTTTTAGTGGACATATATATTTATTTCTTCCAGGTATAAACCCAAGAGTGCAATGATTGTTTAACCATAATTAATTTAAACTTTCCCCTTTTGTTGTAACTCAGGTGACTTCCTTCTTTTCATACAAATAATGGCCATTATTCTATACCTACTGCAATGGCTATTTTTCTACACATGTATGTGAATTATTATTTCATCAGGATAAATTTTTTGAACTGGGATTACTTGCTAAAAGCATTTTAAAGGCTCTTGATATACATCGCCAAATTGCCATTTTATATCCTACAGATAATTCTACAGATTAAATCCTACAGATTAAATTCTACAGACTATGTAAGCCTGGATTGTCTTTAGTTGCTCTACTGAGAAAAAAAATTTTGGCCTAAATTTTTTACAGTAATTTCCCTACCAACTGATAGAGTATATTCCATTGACTTTGCTATTTTAGAAAGCATCAGAGGGAGAAATAATACATGTGGACAAATTCGAGAATGTCAGAGAGCCTATGGGGTCAAAATGTAGCCAAATTCCAATGCAAGAAATGTTAAATAAATTCATTTATTCAATAGATATATATTGATCACAAGCTCTGGGTCTGGCAATCTGCTCAACACTAGAAGCACAGAAATGACTAAGAGTTCCCTGGAGGTATGTTTTCCATGCAAAGAAAGAGTAAATGAATGAGATCAACACTTAGTTTATCTCCTGTAATGAACCAGACTCTTCATGCTTAGCCCTTTATAAGCACTGACTTATTTAATACTCCCACTACCCTGTGGGGTAGGCACATAGCCCCCAGTTTTATGAGAGGAAACTGGAGTTTCGAAAGATTGAGTGCCTTGCCTAAGGTCATAAGTGAGTGACCTAGCCAGGACTCAAATCAAATGTTGGCTTGGCTCCCACCATAGCATGTTGCCACCATGCCAAGGGGAAGAAAGAGAGGGAGTGGACATATCTTTCTCCATTATCCTACTTCTCATTTTGCCAAACAACATTTCTAATTCACATCAGTGGTACAAATAGATTCGAATTTTGAGGATGGGGATGGGGAAAAGAACAGGAAGTGAGAGGGATGTGTGATGTTGACAACGTTGATATTTGTCCCAGTTCAATTAGTTAAATGTTCTCTTAGACTTGTTTAAGAGACTGGCAGTTTAGGAAAATATTGCAAATTGACCAAACACAAAATGGGTGACGTATAAATATTGGGTTATTTGTGGCAGATATGAGCAGTCACCAATGATCAGAGCTACTTTGCCACAGTTTGGCTACTCAGGCACATCAAGAACCCTTCAAAGTAGTGGCTGCAAAACAGGACATTTATTTAGCAATTAATAATAATTTAATAAAAATAATTTTATACCACAGAGGGGTATGAATGTTTCTACCATTCAGACCAACCTACATATCTTGAATAACATCAATTTCACTAATGAAAACCCATTCCAACCATCATTTTGCTAATTATTAAGCACTAAATATTTCAAATAAAAGCTTCTAACACTTATTATTCTAATTAACAAAACTTACAATGTTAAACCATAGTTATCTTTTTTTTTAAAGATTTTATTTTATTTATTTGACAGAGAGAGAGAACACGAGAGAGGGAACACAAGCAGGGGGCGTGGGAGAGGGAGAAGCAGGCTTCCCGCTGAGCAGGGAGCCCGATGCGGGGCTCGATCCCAGGACCCTGGGATCATGACCTGAGCCGAAGGCAGATGCTCAACGACTGAGCCACCCAGGCGCCGCTAAACTATAGTCACCTTAATCAAACACATACTATATCTGTAGCATAAATTCATGATTACAGCAATTGATTAC